TATATATATATATATGTGTGTGTGTATTCATAGGGGGTGACTGCGAGGGGGGGGCGGTGGTTGTGTGCGGGGATCGCTGGAAATGCTCACCGTGGCACTATCCTCCAACATGACATGCACTTATGGCCTTGTGTGGCTAAACGCTCGTCTTACACATCCCACTGCCAACTATCCTACAACATATGCACATGTGGGAAGCTCCAAAGCTACCACGGGCTTAAAAGGGGAAGGCCTGGCAGCTGAGGAGGGGGGATGAAGAGGATGAGGCTCGCATTCAACCATACTCAAAGCTCACTCTGACTCATACGCAATCACTCGCATTAGGGGTCACTCGTCTGCGTCGGCCCTGTCGCCCACGTGGACGCGCTATTGTAGTCGACCGCTCATGAACAGACGCTCACCACGGCATGACATAAAACATGAGATGCACATATGGGGAGCTCCACGCAGTGAGTAATCATTGGGATCTCATGCCCTGTGCTGACCCTGGATCGCCCCTTGACGTCTGACGTCGTCTCGGAACCGACCTCCGAGGCATGCCCTGGGAGGTCGTCTCGGTGCCAGTCTTTCGCGGCGGTCTGGCCTGCTGGCACCCTGTGTTTTCGCGGCTGCCTGGGCTCTCTCCCAGACAGCCGCCTGCGCCTTGAAGCATCTTGACCCCCGCGAGCAAAAAGACAACAAATCCTCCTCTTCCTCCTCCCCCCCCCCTCCTCCTCCTCCTCCTCCTCCTCCTCCTCCTCCTCCTCCTCCTCCTCCTCCTCCTCCTCTTCCTCCTCCTCCTCCTCCTCCTCCTCCTCCTCCTCCTCCTATTTCTCCTCCTCCTCCTCCTCCTCACCGTCCTCCTCCCCTGCAACACCGCAGCGCTGCTGCGGACCAGATCGATCTCTGACCCTATCTGATCTAAGAAAGACAGAAAGAGAGAGAGAGAGAGAGGGAAAGAGAGAGAGAGAGAGAGCACCGGCCTCATGCATGTTGCAGCAACATACTTGGAGGCTGACGAAAACCTGGACGGAGGGGGCTGCACCATACCACTTGGGGGCTCTGAGTTCTGAATCAGCGTGGAGGGGCCAAGGCTGTCAGGATCAATTCGGCCTGGCCGAGTTGATCCGGCCAGGTTCAGCCTGGCCGACTGGAACCTCGGCCGAATTGAGCCCGTGCGAGCTGACGCCTGGCCGGATCCGGGCCGAGTTGAGCCCCAGCCGAGATAATCTGGCCGAGTTCGTCCGGGTCCGAGTTGAGCCGGCCGAGTTAATCCAAGCGAACTGATCCCGGCCGAGTTGATCCGGTCGAGTTAAGCCCAGCCGAATTGATCCGAAGCGTTCCTGCCCCAGACAAGCCCCAAAAAGCCTTAAAAAGCTGAAAGGAAGCCCCAGATAACTCCACGAAAACCCTGAGGAAGCCCCTCTGGAAACCCTCTTGGGCTTCCCTTGCTGCTCTGTTGCGGCCCCCCTAAGAGCCCAGGGAGAACCCAGCGGCAGCCCACCTGGCCCCATCCGAGCCAAAGGAAAAACGCAAACGATCCCTTAGAAGACCCCAAGAGAGCTCCATATGAGCCCCGAAACCCTCCAAAAAGCCAACGGTCCCCAACTCTATGCATAGAGTTGGGCCTTGCGCGCCAGCAGGACTCCTTGAACCCTTCTGGGAGCCCTCTTGAAGCCGTCTTGGGACCCTCATGGACCCGTCTTGGAGCCCCCTTGGGCCCGTCTCAGGGCCCTGCGGGAAGCCCAAATGAGCCGGAGGAAGACCCCAAGACAGCCTCACGTGAGGCCATGGACCCTCCAGAACCCCAGAGCCCCAATTCTATGCATAGAGTTGGGCCTCGCTCGCCAAAGGGCCTTCTGGGACCCGTCTTGGGGCCCTCGTGAGCCCGCCTGAGAGCCCCAGGGGGGGCCTAAACAAGAGCCAAGAGAACCCCAGGCGAGCTCTGCGCGAGAGCGCAGACCCTCCCGAAAGCCCAAAGGCCCCAACTCTACGCATAGAGCTGGGCCCTGTGCGCCAGAAGGCCCTCTCGGACACTTGCTGGGGCCCCCGTGGACCCGTCTTGGGCCCCTCCCGTCGTCGTCGCCACCGTCGTCCGTCCTGGTCGTGTTCGCGGTCGTGGTCGGGGTCGACATGGTCGTGGTCGTGGTCGTCTTCGTCGTCGTCGTGATTTGTCTTCGTCGTCGTCGTCGTCACTGTCGGGCCCCTATCCCGCACGGCAGCCGGGGGCGCCCGCAAGCCCGACGAGGGGGCCGAGGCGCGCGGAGACGCACGGGGAGGGCTCCATCGGGAGCGCCGCAGAAAGAAAAAAGGCAAACGAATGGAAGGAGGAGGAGGAGAAAGAGGAAGAGGAAGGAGGAAGAGGAAGGAGGAAGAGGAAGGAGGAAGAGGAAGGAGGAAGAGGAAGGAGGAAGAGGAAGAAGGAAGAGGAAGGAAAGTGAATGGATGGAAGGAAGGAGGAAGAGGACGAGAGAGAGGCGGAGGAGGATAACGGAGATATAGGGTGCACGGGGCAGCGAGAAAGAGCACGACAAGGGGACTACGGAAGGCGGAGAGGGGCGACGGAGAGGAAGTGGGCGGGGGGGGGGGAACGAGAACGCAAAACATAAAACTAAAACGGAGCCGTTTCGGTGTCCTCGGTGTGTATATATATATATATATATATACACGCCGATCAGGCGTGTGAGTTTGACAAAGCCTTCGCAAGAGCTTCAGCTCTGATTGGGGGGGGGTGCCGGGGTGGCTCTGCCGGGGAAGGGGGGAGGGGGGAGGTACGCGGGGGAAACGCGCGACCTCCGTTTTCCCATTTTGCGATTGTCAATTATTACTCGAGGGTCCCCAGGATCCTGGCATCTCCCGTCGGGACTTTCCCAGGACCCCCCCCATGGAGCGGGAGAGAATAAGAAAGGAATAGCGGAGAGGGAGAGAGGGATGAGAGACACGAAGAGGACGAGGAGGAGGAAGAGGAGGAAGAGGATAAATAAGAGCATGAGAAGGAACAAAGCGAAGCGTCGTCGTCCTCGTCGTCGCCGTTGTCGCCCACGTCTTCACCGCAATCATCGTGGTCGTGGTCGTAGCCGTCGTCGTCCTCGCCATCGTCGTCATCGTCGTCATCGTCGTCGTCATTGCCTTCGTCGTCGATGTCGTCGCCGTACACCGAATCCGGAGCGTTCCGGATCAGCGGCACTGACCGGAGGCCACTACAATATATATATATATATATATATATATATATATATATATATGTGACAACCATAACCTGCCCCCCCACCACACATCCCGGATCTCGGCAGATCGATCAAGCTTCTCCTAGAATGAACTAGATGGGATATGCGACAACCCGAGGAACACTTCAACATAACCCCACTAGATACCCGAGCGAAGCCCAGGATCACCCAGGAGAAGTACACCTCCCCCTCATCGTCCCCCCTGCATCCTTGCCCAAGATTACCAGCAAGAGCTCTCATGGTAGGCAACAGTAAATATGGCCACTTGCCTTTTGGAGTGTCACCCGCGGCCGGACATATTTCACCCGTGCTGGGAGCTCATGAAACAAACGCCCTCCGATTACCTGAGATGGAGGGTCAGCCACGAAGGCCTGGCGAGGCACACAGGCACACACACACACACACACACTCTCTCACACACACACACGCACGCACGCACGCACGCACGCACGCACGCACGCACGCACGAACGCACACACACACACACACACACACACACACACACACGCGCACACACAAACACACACACACACACACACACACACACACACACACACCGTGGTCAGGTATCTCTGGCCGGCCGGGGCCACCTGACCCCAGCCGGCACTGGGTCACTTGACAACGGCCAGCTGGGGCCGCACCCCAGGGTCCGGCCGGGGCCAGGCCGGTGTCAGGCGTCCCCGGCCGGCAGGAGACACCCGTTCCCAAGAATGGACCATGCATGTGTGTGGGGGGATTGCTTTTCCGGGCCTGGGGCTGGGCCGGGGCCGGGCCGAGCCAGATGGCCGTGCCAGGTCCGGCCGAGTTTGGTTCTGGGGGCCAGCCGGCGGCCTGGTCGGTGTCCGGACCTGGCCTGGGTCCGCGCCAAACGTAAGTCGGGCGCGTCCCCCCACAGAGGGGATTTTCGACGAAAAACCACGAATACTCAAAAAATATTCCAAAATGGTCAAGAGATCACCAAAAAATAGTCCCCAGACTATTTTTTAACCATTTTTGATTATTCCTCCTGTAGAGGGACGGGCCCGACTTAACACCAGACCCGGGCCGCCAGCCTGGGCCAGGTCAGGGCCAGATCGGGCCGGGTCTGGGTCCGGGGCCAAACTGGCCCCAAGAGGCCTCCAAGAGAACGAGTTGAGCCTGGCCGAGTTGAGCCTGGCCGAGTTGAGCCTGGCAGAGCCGAACCTGGCCGAGTTGAGCGCTGGCCGAGCTGATCCTGGTCGAACGCGAGACTGGCCGAGTTGAGCCTGGCCGAATGGAGCCTGGCAAAGCCGATCCTGGGGAGCGCTGGCCGGGGTGATCCTGGTCGAGCTCGGCTGCTGCCCTCGCGAGGGCACGGTCAAGTTGTCGTGCGTTCTCGTCGGTTCTCAGCGACTTCGCGGCCGCGGGATGCTCTCCAGCGGCTGCGCACCGCCGAGGGCGCTCTGGGGGGGCCTGGATCGTCCCGGCATGCTGCCAGAGCCGAGTTCGGGCGAGGAGGTGGTGGTGGTTGTACTCAGCCCCTGGTCGAGTCTGCATTGATTATCCAATTGCAATTGACCGCTGTGCGCATAGTGAGGGAAGCTCCCCTCGCGAAACTTGAAAGTCGGCGCTCCCGTCGCGACTAGATTCCCCATCGGGGAACACCATAGAAACCGTTAGGGTCGAGAGGCCTAACGAAATCAGCTCGAGTAGTGCGCAGTGGCACTAGATCCCAAGAGTGAGAAGTCAAACGTCCCAGCACGCACGCACACACACACACACACACACACACACACACACACACACACACACAACACGGAGCGAGAGGGAGGGAGAGGGAGCCACACAGAGGGAGCAGGAAGGCGGAGGCAGGCGAGGACACACCACAAAGATCAAGGAGAGGCCCCAGCGCTTAAGTCAGGCCTCTACCTCTACCACTCCCTTTGCCCTTTCAGGGCCTGCGTGTTGGCTGAAAATCCGGATGGGCCCATAAGCCCAAAATTGAACTCAGTCCTGCTCGGAAGCACACTGCCTGGGTTCCCCAGCTTCTAAAACATTGACAGGTCCTAACGGCTGACTACAACTGCTACCAGCTTCCCTCAGAGCTCCTCAGAACCTCGCTCCTACCACCGTTGACCAGGCCCCCCTTCAGCATTTTCGTCGGGGAGTTCTGGAGCTTGCTCTCGGGGCCCCCTCGCGGCGGAGGGCCTGGCTTCATCACGAGCCCCAGTTTCATGAGGCACTTGGCGACCAGGAGGTTGGCTGGCACTATCAACACGTTGAGCGAGTCCCCTATCGGCACGAACGCATGAATGTAGAACGAGTGACGAACTTTGGCCTCCTCCCCCTTCCTTCGCGAACGTGGTCTTCGCTCGCCAATACTTGATGTACTCTGCGGCTATCTCCATCTTCTCCCCTCGAAGCCTCTCGACCAGGGAGGTAGGCCTGCTTCTTCTGCTTGAATATATTGAGCTTCTTTCACAGCCTGCTGCGCGACCAATACCGTCAGCACCGCCATGGCCACCATGAGTGACGGGGGGACCCACCACTGCACCCGAATCCTCTTCCACTATGCGCATGAATTCTTGAGCTGCTCCGATCGCGTGCGCATTGAGAACGCAGTCCTTGTCTGCCACGCGCGTGCTGATCAGACATCCCTCCAGCACCCTCATGCGCTGCGAGACATTCATCACCTGCTTCAGGGTGTTGACCGCCGTCTCGTCCTCCGTGTCATAGCCGTCGAGCACCTCCGTGTCCATGGCCGTGGGCACATATTCTGGCTTCGATCCCCGATGCTGCAGCGCCGCTCGACCCTATGGCACCCTTCATTGGTGGACCGCGCACTTCCCCTCCATGAAGATCCTCCACTTCCTTAAGGAACCTGTCTCGCCGTAGTCCACCCACAACACTTTTGACAAGCGTATCTAAGTTCAACACATGAATGCGTGCCTCAAACTCTCTCTGCTGGCCCTTATACTTCGCGTCGCGAATAGCCGGGTTGCGTAGCATACAAAAGATTTCCGCAGGCAAAGACCATGGCGGAACACTTTTGCGATAGGCTAGTCTCTTGATCGTTGCACAAATACCGCGGAGATCACGGTCCGCTTCGCCCTTGAAAGTAGGGTTCCATAGGTGCTGTCCGTCGTGTCTGGTATAACGTTGTGCTGGAAGCGCATCAATATCAGGAATATGCTGTGCTGGCTGTCCTCCCTGCCATCCTGGCTGCTCCAGATGTTGAGTCCACATCACCACCGTGGGATTCGACAATGTCGGAGTGTTGTAGAAACGCCGCCCAGGCCCCACACTGGTAGTAGCCATTAGCCGGGCCAGCCTGTGAACTAAACTCTGATCATTTTGTTGCCACGCATGTCGCATCTGCTTTCCCAAGCTGTCGACTTGCGCTTGCTGGTGCTGCTCCTTGGCTTTGTGAAGGTCCTCGGTCAATATCTTTAGTTGTTGCTGCAAACTTGTAATCTCCTCGATCTGCGCCTCGGAGCCAAGGGATCCCATATTCCCACGCAAGATAACACGCCATTTGACCAGTTCTCGTTGTTGTTGTCGAGCCAAGCGGTAGTTCTGATCTTCCTCTAGGTATTTCTGGAAAAAAAATCAACTGCAATCTGCTGAACCTCACTCACCAGGTGATGCCACGCTTCATCAGGTGCAGCAAGCTCTTCATAGTGTTTCCACCGCGGAAAGGACTGACAGCCATGATCCTCCTCTTCCTTAAGGAACCTGTCTCGCCATAGTCCATCCACAACACCTCTGACGAGGGTAACTAGGTTCCATTGAATGCAAGGGGTACAGCCACCACGGGAGAAATCAAGAAAATAGATGGCTCGTACTTGCAGTGGGTAGTGATCTCATTTCCGCTGCACAGGTGCCATTTGGAGTCGTCGCCCATGCTTGTTCAATATACAAGAATCACCCACTATCATAAGCCATGCTCTGTGAACTCCAAGGTAGTCAATGCCTGAACTCGAAGCTCACCCATGAAAGGTGTCGTGACCTCCAAGGAAAGTGCTGGCAAATCCTAAAATATTTTTCTCCATGAAATCTCTCGGCTGTGTCATGCAATGGTGCTCCCGTTGAGGTCGCAGCGGTCCAACAGGACTATGTTCATTAGGCACCCCTGCATAATCATTGGGATCTCCGCCAAAGACTATCGAGCACCGACTCAGTTGAAGTCTACATACCTGATCCATCCAGGCGTGCGTCTGCTTCACCGTCTTCTTGTACGTCGGCATTTCCTTCGCCACCTTCGCCACCCAAGGACTGACAGGGAAATAGGCCACAATCAGCAACATATGGTAGCGTCCTGGCCGTAGTTCCACCGCCCCCATTCGTCCTTGTAGTCTTGTGTGCGGTGAATGAATCTGCGCAATGTGTCTTAGTCGGAAAAGCCTCCGCCGACGTCGAATCTGCACACCCGTGTGAAAGAAAACCAACGGCCCCCTTCCATATCCCCAATTACGGACGTGAACATGAGGATCTGAGATAGTCATACATTGTCCATGAATTTGTCGTTGTCGCATTCTGGTGCCAGTAAGAGAACCGATGTCCTTGGTCTGATATGCTTCAGAAATCTCCAGTGCCCTGCCGCTCTGCACGAGGGACGTAACGTTGTGCACAATCCAAAAGAGAGGTAAAAGAGGTGTATGCATGGCGGCAGGCATGCGCCGCGACGGGGAGTGCCTATATGGAAAGGCAAGAGGGCGCTGGGTAGGGGAGAACACACTTCCCTGAGGCCGCGCAGGGAATGTGAAGGGACCTGTGCCAGGGCGGCTTCGGGCGAGGAGGAGGAGGAGGAGGAGGAGGGCCAGCAGGCCGAGCACTCCCGCCTGCGCTGCCACGCACAGGCGGGGCGATGGTAGGGCGCACCTCCACGCGAGCCGCTCGCGCTCGGCCTCAGAAAGAACACAACTGGACCCCCGTGGGAGCGGCTCGCGCTCGCTGCCGACGGCGCAGCCGTTCCTGGCCACCTGGCCTCTCCTGGCAAAACCAAACGATACCGATGCCGATCCCGCCACTCCCTGGACCTCTCCGCGGGTTTCTTTCTGTCCATAATGTCGATGCGAATCCAGCGGTGGCGACGAGGGCCTCCCAGGAGGCCCAAAACGACTGAAACGATGCAAGGGTAGCGGTGTCGGTACCTTCTCCTCCCCTGGTTTCCCAGGGCTCGAGGGCCCGCTTTGGTCGAGCCTCGGAACGGCCAGCCCGTCTAAGAGTGGAACGAATGCACCTCAGCATGAACTTTCGGAGCTTCGCGCGGATTTCTTGGATCGGAGCTGGACACCCCGCCCTTGCGCGCGGAGCGCGCCAGGGGCGGCGCCAGAGGCGCCGAAAGAGGGGCCCAGCGCCGATCCAAGAAATCTGTGCGGAGCTCTTGATGTTTACTTCGTTGTTCCGTATTCCATCGTCTAGAGGAACGAGAACTATGCACATACACCGCTTCTGGCCAGGCCCATCCTGAGCCCAGGATCGGCGCATACGCCCTCTTGCCTGGGCCAGGGAGGTATATGCACCGATCCGGGGTCAAGGATGGACGCTGTCAGGATCGGTGCACGTGCACAGTTCTCTTCGCCCGATCGTCGTGCTCGCTCACGCGGCACGGTGGGTCGGGGAGGGGACCCTGGACGGCTCCCCCAGCCGCGGCGGGCCCGAGGCCTGGGCCGACGCGAACTGCAGTGTAGGTCCGCCGAGCCCCGCAGAGGAGGCGGGGGAAGAGGAGGACGACCGCAGACGAGGACGAAGAGATGGGAGGCAACTTCGGGGAGGCTGCCAACCCACCTGTCCTCACCCCCCTCTTGGACGCCCCCGGTCAAAGCGTGAACCCGCAGAAGTCTGGAGCCCTTACCTGGCACTGACTCTTCATCCCGAGACGCTCCCTGTCACGAGCCTGTCACGGTCCCAGGGCCCAGCGAGGGCCCCGTAGGGGCGGGAAACGACGAAACAATTGCCGCCGTGACTCCTTCGCGACTCGAGGGGTTCTGAGTCCGGGGGTCGAGCATCGCCCCCAGGAACAGCTCGTCGTGACGAGACTTTTCAGGGAGTCCAGCCGTGGCGACGATGAGCCCCCATGGAAGCCAAACATATACGACAAACGTACCAAAGCCCAGAGCCTCGATCTTTCACTAGAGATCCAGTAACAGGCATGACCAGCATCCCATCAGCCCTCTGGGCGTAGGTGGTTTACAGCATGTCCTCTTCCAATCCCCTTCGGAGGGGTCTACCACTGGTCCGTATCAATTTACACCCACTCCCCATCACAGCATGCGACAAATCCAGGACCATGAGGGACCCCCCCCCACCATCCCTTGCAACAAAAACAATACAAAGTGCACGTTGCACCAGAATCTGGATCATGCGCGGACGCACCGCGATCGATTTCCATTGGTTTCTGACAGGGAGGGCGCGGGGGGCGGCATATTGCCGGCTGTTTGCAATGCCAACACTCCCCACCACCTCTTGCTACAATAACAAAACAAAATGCACGTTGCACAAAAATCTGGATCATGCGCGAACGCCCGAGATCACTTTGCATTGGTTTTGGCAACGACATCGGCGTGGCTCGGCATTTTGCATGCTCCGCGCAATTCCGACAAACCATCCTAACCATATGCAGCTATGAATACTGCCGTTGTGAAAACCGCCTTCGGTGGAGCCACCTACGGGGCAACGAAACGCAAGAAGGGAGCGCCGAAATGGGGCGGGCCGCCATGCGGGCGCTGCCGCTAAGGCCGCCCGCAAGGGGAGCGGAGGTCAGACGAAACGGGTTACATGCTGATGTAAGCCGTTGCGGCTGACAAGCATCGGGCCTCGTCGCCGCCAGTCGTCTGGGCTGGTATGCCGGTCTGGCGGCTATGTAGCCGCCGTCGCCGCCCCGTCGCCGCCTCGTCGCCGCCCGTCGTCTCGGCCGGCATGCCGCTCTGGCGGCTATGTAGCCGCAGACGCCGCCCCGTCGCCGCTTGGTCTCCGCCCATCGTCTGGTCCGGCGTGCCGGTCTGGCGGCAAAGTTGCCGACGTCGCCACCCCGTCGCCACCTCGTCGCCGCCCGTCGTCTGGGCTGGTGTGGCGGTCTCGCGGCTACATTGTCGCCGTCGCTGCCTCGACATGGACTGCACAGTGTAGAGTCTCCTTTCTAAAGAGAGAACAGACTCTACCCCCCCCCCCCTGGACTTATCGCTTCCCCCTGGGAAAGAATGATTTCATATATGTATATACATACATACATACATACATACATACATACATACATACATACATAAATACATACATACATACATACATACATACATACATCTGTGTATAATATATATATATATAGTCTGCAAATTCGTCCATCCTAAATATGGAATCATACCATCCCAGGAAGGCCGGGTTCCCCCCCCCCTTAGGTTCCCTTGCAAAAAAAACACTATGCGGTGACATAACACTTTTTCGCAAATCCCTTGCAACAAATTGGACGAAGTGCACACGCGCGCGTCGTCGCGCGCGCATGCCGAAATCCTTCAAAAACCTTCGGTGCCGGAAGGATTTTGCAATCGAGTTTCCAAGAAAAACATACAAAAAACACATGGTTTCGCAACACTGATTTGATAAAAAAGCTTCCGCGCGAGCTCTTGCGAAATCTTAAGAAAACCATGCGTTTTTCAAGATTTACACAACATGCTACCAAACGGGCTTCGCGCGCGCGCATGTCGAAATCTGTCGAACGCCCTTGCGCGTGTGCCGTCGCGAGAATCCTCTGCAAAAAATAAGACGAAGTGCAGACGCGCGCGTCGTCGCGGGCGTACGCCGAAAACCTTCAAAACCCATCGGTTTCGGAAGGATTTCAAAATCGTGCGTCCAAAAACCTACAAAAACCCAAGGTTTCGCAACACGGATTTTCAACAAAAG